TGTCTTAATGGCAAAAAAACTCATACTTGTAAAATTCAAATACGGAGTATTACAAAAGGAATGTTTAAAAACTCCTACTTGTACACATCAGTACGTGTTGCTACACGCAATAGCATTTTCAAATGCAAAAAATTCCGAAGTCTATCAGTTTTAAAGACAACTACCTCGTCCCTCTCAAGCTCATAACTCTTATACACTTAGAATTTCTAAGTATACAAGAGATGGGGACTGGTAAGTGGGGTTGTAGCCTGTGGGGGGACTCAGGCGGAAAATGAAACCAGAGGTCATCAACACCACAGCTCAGAATATGGCAACAACCACGCCAGCATCACCCAACAGGTATATTAACACACTGACACTACGAGAAAGTGCCTTATTTGCGAAGGGAAAAGTAGTCGTAAAAACCTAAAAACTGGTCACTAATTGTTAATTGCGACCGGAAAAAGTGGTCGCGTGACAGTTATTGTAGGCCTCGCCGCAAATGATATTTTGCGACCGAGAAAACCAGTCTGACACTAAAAGCTTTTGGGACCGAATGAAATACCATCGCTAATAGTAATATTAGAGGCCACTTCCTAAGACTAATTGCGACCGTTATCCCTTCGCTAAATCTAATTTACTCAATCCAGGATTATTATTTACAACAACTTAATTGGTGCATTTGTTGAATTTAAATTCCAACTAAATCTAATTCCCTTCGTTTTTAAATTCCAAATTAATATGTTGAGTTTATGTATGCCAAACATAAAATATTAATTTTATATAGCAAATGTATGATCCAAAGCATATTAGCATACGTACTAGAAAGCTGAAAACTGATTTAAATATATGTTAACATAACATCATTTCATATTCAAAATAAAATTGATATCCTCATTAAAAAATTTAATCTACCATCCATGCATGACAAAGTATCATAGATAGCAATCTCAATGTATTATAGATACCAGATCGTAGACTAGCTATAAAACGTCTCTAAAAAACTCCAACCCATGCAACACAATAAACATCAAATAATTAAACGTGACAACGAGAAGTTCTTGGAATATTTAAACTTTGCTTACTTGACCTTGTAACATCTCTTTAAACTTTTGGAAATCATCTTCTAATGCATTTAGGCAACTTTTCATGTTCTGGTTTTCTTCTTTCATGCTCTAATTTTCTTCTTGAACTACCTGCAACCTAGCCTCAAGCTCACTCTTGTTAGAAGGTCCCTTTAGATCTTTGCGGCTCACTCCACCTCCAAAACAAATGACATGACTACGTTGTTGCGGTCCAAAACACTTCTCAATTCGATTGAACTACTTCACGCATTTCTTCCTAAACGATTAATCAATGGGTTACATAAAACTGAAAAATTATAAAACAAAAAACAGCAGCACAGTGAAACTATGTGCTCACATATTTCTGAATTGTTTCCGGTTTAACAAGTTGATCCTTCTTCTTGCAGGTTTCATAAAAAAATAGCATCCATATTCGGCGGATTGTTATCCCCCCCCAACCCCCACAAATGTAAAAAGCACCAGATAAATAGTACTGACGTTTATCACATATCAAAACAATCAATATTATGAAATAAAGGATTGATGAAAACAACCTCTACATTAAGGACAATCTGCAACATTTGTATATATAGGTACAGTCACTGTTCTAAAAGTCGCTCTAGACGCCCGACTAGTCCCCGCCTAGGCGCTAGGCGGTGGTCAGGCGCCCCGATTTTTGTCTAGGCGCTCCGACTAATTGGTTTGACGCCTAAATGAATTAGTCGGCCGCCTAGTTGCCCGCCCAAAGCGCCTAATCTCCGCCTAGGGCGTCTAGATTCATCAAACAATTCTTGATTTTTAATTTTCTATTTGTAAGAGATATATGTACTTTTAACTTTAATCACGAATATGAATAAAGATACTTGTAAAGTAAGATAAAATTTATATATGTTTGTATATATATACTTAAATTTTATTATTATTTAATATTTATAACATAATGTAGTTAAGTGATTAGTTATCATATATTATTTCATGTGACAATTCAATCATGCATGCATGTTAATGTGTGTATATATTTTTCATACATACACAAACATGATACTACCATTTTATTATGTATTACTTATCATATTTATGCAAAACTATTAATAAAAATACAATTTATGTGCTTCCGATTAGTCCCCGCCTAGGCGCCCGCCTAACCGCCTAGGCGCTAGGCGCTGGGCTGGCGCCCGACTAGCGCCTAGCGCCTTTTAGAACCTTGGGTACAGTAGAACCAAGACTACTAATCCGAGCATAGGAAAGCAATTAGTTATATTCATTAACTATGAAACACTGGTTTTCTCTTCATCTAGATATTGTATATATAGTCAAAACATACCATTTGAAAAATAAGCTCTCTGAGAGGCTTGCTACCCATACAATGTAGCATTGTCAAATGACTTCTATTTTTCTAACCTCTCTCACTTTTTGCCTGTATTTACACAATATAAATAATCAATATTCCTTATCATAAACACATTTCAAAACAGCATTGAACTAAAAGAAATTGCCCTGGAAGAGCAAACTGAGAGGAATAATAATGAAGTCCCCAATCAGGAGAAGTCAGAAAGTGAAGGATCTAGGTGAAAACAACTCTACGGTTTCTTCAACCTCCCAAAATGAAGGATCTGCTTCCACATCAGTTCTTCAAGAAGAGACGGATGCCCGAACTGATTTGGAAACTATGCCCAAACAGAGAGTGAAGGGAAAAGCCAAGAAGCAACTGAGTAACAGCACATCTGTCTTTTTTCTGTTTTCTATTTTTTAGTTTACATGTTTTTACTCACTTTTATTTTCAATCTTCTACCACTAAGCAACATTGCATATAAACATAGCATAGACGTGTAGTAGAAAGCATTTGATAAATATTTATTCATGTAGTTTTAAATTAGTGACTTCGGGAATGTGATGCCTCCAGCTTCAAAAGGAATTTTTGGATTTTTCGAAACCAAACTGGGGGATTACTAATTGCCGACTATCCCAAGAATGAGTTATCATATGTGCGACACAATTTTGCGTAAATAAGTAGCATACATGGACAATTTAAAAAAACACATTTCACAACAACAAATAATTAAGTGAATCAAACATATATACTCCTAATCCAATCTTAGAAAAATTTCGAGTTCATTCTGCTGCACTTTTTATAATAGTGCAAGGAAATAGTTATTACTTTTGAATTATTCTTAAACATATCATGTTACATGAATTAAATATAATAACGACATCTCAACAAAACACAGAAATCCATCAGTAACCACATGAAGAATTTAGAAAATTAATTAGCAAATTCAGAGAAATAAGAAAAGCTAATTGAAGTACATACCTTATATTCTGGAGTAAAATAGTAATTCTTTATTAACCATCCTCAATCTTCTTTAGTTACACCAGTTGGAACCTTTTTCAATGCTTCAAGCGGTGTCCTTTTTTTCACATATGTAAAATCCATCCATCATCTCCATTTGTTCCATAACTCCCACATGTGTGAAAGAACATGATCTCGGCGATCCAAAAGATCAAAACCCTCAAATACTTCCTGAAATAATTTTAAATTGGAATTAAACCCAACATTTTGTGGCGCCCAAAATCCAAGCATACTTAGAAATTATAATTCAGTACACACATCATAAACAAATGAATTCATATTCATACCGTTACGGCATCCCACATGTGGTTTTTCTTGTCTTCATCGATATTTGCCCATTCGGTCACTGTTAATGGACAAATTTGACAATTGCGAATAATATTTCCTAAATGCCTCAAAAATGATTTATGATTTTCTCCAGTAACACGATTGTCATAAAATCTGACTTTGAGTTTCTCCCCCCTTTTCAAATTGGCCACTTCTTTACATTTATTTATTCCTCTTACCTTCTTTGTTTTATTTTTGCCAAGTGAACCTGTAAACAAATATTACCTGCACACAAACACACACACACACATCATATGAGGATAACAACAAACTATAATAATAAGAAATCATTGTTTTAGGTCATTACCTTTAACCTTTTCATTAGACAATAATGTATAGTATTATGCATAACATGAGCTTCTTTTGGCATATCATTAGGCTGATTCAATGATTGATTAGTTGTAATGGTTAAGACAAAAAAGTGAAAAATAAACTTAAAAGAAAGACATAATAAACAAAATTGACATTTGCAAAATAAAAATTAGTATTACTAAGCTCAGTGTTATTTTGTAGCAACTTATAAGATAAATGTTGAGCTGTGTCATCCTTGCATAGATTAATTTTAAGCTTTGAATAAAATCTTTTATATCAACCCTTGATCAAGGCCGCGGATGTAGCAACTAACTTGTGAAACAGGAATTTTAGAACAGCAGAGCATGCAGGAACCGAGCTCATAACCATTTGCAGTGGGGTGCCTTCTTCTCTGGAAGTCACTTCAAAGCAGAGCAAGAGATCGAAGACTTACTCTCTCTCTCACCTCAAGTGTCGATCACTTTCGCTTCGAGGGTGGGGGACTCATGATGGAGTATATTCCCATATATCCCAGGGGCATCATAATGGGGGGCCAAGACTTCCAGCCATGCGACAAAAACACTTAATCACAAAGCTTCAGCAGAGGCCGACCTCGATGCACAAGGTCGGAATTAATTAGACACCAAGCAGCGAACCGATGGAATGTGAAACTCTTGCCGAGACCGACCTCGACACACCGAGGTCGACGCGATCATCAATCTCACAGATCGCCAGGTATGACGAAATATGAGGCCAACCTCAAGCGCACCGGGGGCGGTACTAGGTCTGACCTATGACGCAGATACGAGGTCTACCGAAGTCAACCGAGGTGAACGAAAGAATCACCGCTACCGGACAAAAGACTGATAGACAATTTATAATAGTCCTCGCAAGTGCACGAGTCGCGATAGTACAGTGCTCAAGTAAGGGTCGAATCCACGGGGAAAATGCAACTAAGTAATTGGAGAACTATTAATTAAAAATAAAAAAATAAAATTAATTTAACTAAAAGAGAGATTTGAGAATGTTTTGATTTGAAACTAAAAAGTAAAGCTTGAATTAAAATGGATGCAAGGAATTTAATTGAATAAAAATAAAGTGATTAAACAACTAATTTGAGATTGATTGAGAATTAAGCAAGAGAAAAGGTAGTCCAGGATTATGAATTAGTCGCTAAGTTTTAGTATTTGTGATTTAGTTAGCCAATTAGAATTGAGGGTTCGTTCTAGACAAAAATATGACTATCCCGTATGGCATCCAGAATAAGTCACGTACTTTAACTATTAATTAAAAGGAAATTATTAATTCAATAGTTAAAATCCATTAATCACAAAAGAACTACGGAAACCCGATTTAAGAACCAAATAGATAACTCAACAAGACAGTTCAATTATCTATTCTTTTATCCAAAAGAGCTCGAATTAATAGGCATGGCATGTACTCTATTGATCCACTCAAACAACTTAATTAATCATGCTAAAGTTGGCCAGAAGTTAACACAATAAATTAAGCGAATAGGAACAATGGATAAAACTCAATCAATTGACTAAACTAAAATCACAATTTATACTAAATCATAGCAACTTCATCACAATCCAGGACCTAAACAATTTAGCTACTCATACTAAAGTAAGAAATTATTAAAACGAAAGGAATCAGGGAGTTCATGTTGACCATGTTGCAATCAACAATAAACAATTGCTTCCAATTCTCAAGCAATGAAACTGAAGCAAATTCAAGGAGAAAATAATGTAAAGAAAGTCTAGAACACTGCTGAATCAAACCGGGACTTTTTCAGAAGAATTTCTTAACCGAATTGCTGATTTTCACGATCAAGAAATCTCCTTTCTGCACTCGGAACTCCAGCCACTCCGAGATCAGAAGCCCGCTGCGTTCCCCTGTGTCCAGCCTCTCAGTCCGGCTTCGGCTCTCTGTCTTCGCCACCCAGCCCTGTGCCTTAGTGGATGGAGCCGATCCCCAAAAAAAATGGAGCAGCCACTAATCCCTTTTCCAGCTTCCTCTCTGTTCTTGGGCCTATTTTTTTTCCTGGATTGGGTTGCTGGTGCCGTACAAGTCAAGAGGAGTATCCTCTTTTTTTCTTTTTCTTGTTTGCTGCGGAGGAGCCTTTCTCCAAAACAAAAAGTATTTGGCTCACTTCTTTTAATTTTCCAACAACCCTTTGAAAAGGGAAAATCTCCAAAAATCAGTCCAAAAGTCCTCAAATCCTTCAATTAAAGTTCTCACCTGTAAAAATCATTTTTAACACAAAATATAACTCAAGCCTCTCAATTAGGCAAATAATAAGCATAGAATTGTAACAAAGTAATATAAAAATGAAGCAAAAATTCTAGCTCATCAAACTCCCCCACACTTGCATTTTGCTTGTCCTCAAGGAAAATTAAAATCAAGAAACTAATTCGGCAACCAGTGATCAAGATTCTCTTCCACTCACCAAGCATTCCAACAAACCCCTCCATGACAAGATATCCCCAAAAAAATTCGAATCAAGTATCCAACACAATGTCAAACTCAAAAGCCAATCACCTAGACTCACATGTCATTAATAGAGATGTCTTTTACAATTCTAAATGACCTAGTGAAATGCTCAAGTAACTTTCAGAGAAATTATGCAAAGTCCCAAGTCATTCAGTCAACACTCTATAGTCATCTTATGCTCTTCCTTCCACCTTATTGATACGTTTGTAATTTTCGTATGTTTAATTACATTTTTAGTTAGTTTTGGTTGTTTAGTATTTCGGAAATTACACACTTTCGGTGTAATAGTTTAGTTTGCCAAATTCTTGTAAATTGTTTAGATTAGGTTTATTCTGAGCTCAAACAGGTCTGACATCACTCAAGGACAGTTGGTGAAACCCAAAAAGTGGAAGGAAGGTGCAAAATCACAAGACAAAAGAAGGAAATCCTGATTTTTGTCTATACTCGGTCGAGTATCTCCTATACTCGATCGAGTATCTGGTTGAAATTTCAAATCGGATCGGATCCGAAAACAAAGGAACATGCAGAGGAAGATTTCCCCACGATCGAGTGTCTATACCCGATCGGGTACACCGACATACTCGATCGGGTATAGCTATGAATTCTACTATAAATTCGATCGAGTATGGATCGAATTCAGCTTTCTGCACATACTCGATCGAGTACATACATATACTCGATCGAGTACCCGACCTACACCCCAAAAAAGCCTATAAATACACCTCCTTTCCTTCATAACAATCTCACCAATTGACATATACTTCTTAGCTCAGTTTAGACAAGTTCTTTCTTTATATTTTTCATCATGTTTAGTCTCCATATGAGGAGCTAAACTTTTCCATCTTGGTTTTGCTACTTTGAAGCTTAATGATTTGTAAGTTGTGAGTTATTTTCTTTAATCTTCTTCCTTGAATATTAATTACTTCCTATTCATATTCCTTATTAATATATTGAGCATTACTTAAAGTATCAATTAGTCTTGTTCTATGTATTAATTATTACTAGAATCAATCGGTTAATACGCTTGTTATTAATTCGGTTCTTTCACGGTAGTAAACTTGGGTTGTTAATGCATGCTTCTCATGGTTAATAAGCCAAGGGGAATTAATTATATTGATTGAACCAATAAACCGCTTGAGTTGAGGTTATCAATCTCAATCGTTTTCATCTTAATTTTATTGCTACTATCAAGTTAATATACGGCGCTTGTTCTATATTGACTCGGTAGTAAGTTTTATTAATGAACGCTTCTCGTTATTAATAACTACCCTCGATGAATTGGATATACTCCTCGATTGAGTATTCGAGAGGAAGATAGTTACAGATATAACCGGGATCGACGAACATTTCATTAAGTGGATAAAAGCAAAGCCAAGTCTTTTTCTCATTCATTAAACCACATAACTCGTTCATCTTCGTGTTTAAATATAAATCAAGTTCATTTACTCAATCTAAAACCCCCCATTGTTACTAGTTTATAAAGAGAAAAGTACTCCTTTCCCTGTGGATACGAACCTTACTACACTATACTACGTATTAGTGTCGTATTGATTATTATTTTGAGTGCACATCACGACAAAGTGCACGTCACTTATCAATCACAAACTTGATCAATATCACTTAGGACTTTTATTGGGGTTGTAACGTGGCCATGGGTAATGGTTAATGAAAGAAAGGAAATGTGAAATCAAAACAAAAGAGAAGACATTTTCTGTACTAAACCGATCCTGGGAAGAGTTCAAAAAAAATGGTAAAGGAGCACAAAAACTATTACAACAATCAACCGGCTTCTATGACAATGGAGTGCATACAGAAAGTGAAAAGAATACAAACTTCAACTCAACTCATCTTTTTTTTTTCTCTTTTTTTTTTTCTCTTTTTTTCAGCTTTTTTTTGTTTTTTTTTTGAATGCTACATCAACACTACTTCTAAAAGGAAATGACAAACTGCCATAACAAAATTACATATACAAACTGCCGGGGAAAAAATGCTCCAATAAGATGAAAACTCTTCCAAGTCACTATTTAAGTAGAAAATGTCAACTCAAGGGTGTGGGATACATTTTGGCTATTTGGGCTCGGGTCAACATTGATGGGTAATGACAAAGAAATTATTAGTCAAAAGCACGGTAGAATGCTTTAAGACCAAGTAGGCTCAAAGGGGTAGCAAGCGGAAATAAAATGCAATGGGTAGGCTAAAAGTCTCGGGTTATGAAAAATGGCCTAGATCACTTCTCAATAAGTTTGCACAATAACTTAGCTTCCAAAAGAGCAACAAGACAAGTTCTATCATGTTAACTAAACGACAAAGGACTCACACTCTTTCCAAGAATGCTAGAGATGCATCCCAGAAGATAATAAAGAATTGAGAAATACATCAAAATTAATGGCACAAGAGGCTATGAAATTGACTCCAAGTAAAAACAATGTGAAGGACTCGATCAAATTCAAGAGAATACCTATCATGGAAACCACCAATCATACCACATACCAATGAAAGGAGAACTTTCACAGCTTGAAGCCAAAGAAGTCATCCTGAAATTAAATTCCCTCAAATCCAAGCAAGAAAACAGTTTTTTTTTTTGTTTTTTTTTTTCAGTTTTTCTGATTTTTTGTTTGCAGTTTCCAAAACTAAAATAAAACTAAATATGAAAGCTACTCCTCCCCCTCACTTATTTCAAACATTGTCCTCAATGAAAGATTAATAAAAAGAGAAAGGTGAAGAAGAACTCCCTGAATGCACTTCAAATGAAAAACTAAAACCGCTTGAAATATAACCTGCAAAACAGAAAGAAACAAAGAAAGAAAAGCACAGGATGGGGAGGGGGAAATAGAATTAAGAAAACGATTTTTTTTTTTTTTTTTTTTTTTTGGTTTTTGATTGGATTTTTTTTTTGAATTTTTTTTTTGATTTTTTTTTAAACAGGTGATTAAATGCATGAACAAAAGTGTTCCCAAAGCAGTTCAAGACTCTCAACTTGCTCCACTGAATCTTCACTACATGAATATCTCTTCACTCTCTCACCATTCACTTTAAAAATATTCCCGGATTTTGGATTTTCAAGCTCAATTGCACCGTCGGGAAAAACTTGGCGAATCACATACGGACCAGTCCACTTAAACTTTATTTTTCCTGGAAGAAATCTTAAACGAGAGTCAAGCAATAACACTTTAATTCCAGGTTTAAAATCTTTTCTTAAAATGGACTTATTATGCAAACAATTAATGCCCTTCTTGCAAACTTTCGCTTTCTCAAAAGCATGATTCTCAAGCTCATCTTCCTGTAGCTTGTCCAAAGAAACAATAGGATCAAGAATATCAAGTGCAAAACATGAATTAGAATCAGCCGACATACTCATTGATTTCAAAATGGAAAACTCAACTGTCTCGTCAAGCACACTCATAGTCAATTTTCCATTTTGAACATCAATCATAGTTTTTGCCGTAGCCATAAAAGGTCTACCAAGTAAAATTGGCATGTCTTTCACATACTTGCACTGATCATCCATATCCAAAACCACAAAATCAGCAGGAATGATCAACTTATCAACTTGAACTAAAACATCCTCTACAATGCCCCTAGGATATCTAATAGAGCGGTCAGCAAGCTGTAAGGACATAGTAGTAGATTTAAGCTCATTCAGCCCTAATTTCAAGTAAACAGAATAAGGCATCAAATTAATACTTGCCCCCAAGTCAAGCATTGCTTTTTCAGATTTAGAATTCCCTAAATTAATGTTGATAAGAAAACTGTCCGGGTCTTCTAATTTTGGAGGCAAATCTTTTTGCAAAACAGCACTAGAAACAAACACTTTTTCATTTGGTTCATACCTACGCTTTCTAGTGCTCAATTCTTTCAAAAATTTAGCGTAGGCAGGCATGTTTTTTATCATTTCAAGAAAAGGCAAGTTCACATTAACCTTAGACAACAACTTATAAATCTCATCAAAAGAATTATTAAGCTTAGAACTTTTTAACCTGTTTGGGAAAGGAATGGGTGGAACATATGGCTTAGGTGGCACATATGGATCTTCAGCATTGTGCAGCCCGGTCTCCTTATCCACTGATTCAGCCTCAAGTTCTTCTTTATTTTCAGCTTCTACCTCTTCTGGTGGCTTCAAAATGGGCTGCCCTTCATCTTTCTCAATTATCTTGCCACCCTTAAGAACCGTGATAGCTTTTGCCTCCTCGGTGTGGCTCGGTAGCTTCCCTTGCACATGGCCTTGTAAACACTCAGCAATCTGTCCCACTTGTATCTCTAGCTTCCTCAAAGAGGCCTCAGTGCGCTGAAAACGCTGATCGTTTGCTTGCTGATTTTGGGTGCAGATTTGCATGAAAGTTTGCAAAGTATCCTCCAAAGCAGGCTTCTTCTGTAAAGGTGGTGGCTGGTTGCTTTGTTGTGTGTTACTCCAAGAGAAATTAGGATGGTTCCTCCAACCGGGATTGTAAGAGTTGGAGAATGGATCATTTCTTGGCCCGTGATTGTAGGAGTTCATCATATGAGCTTGCTCAAAACCAGCTTCAGGTACTGCATGCACAACAGGAGTAGACATGCTCATTGTCATCACGGAGCACATATTCTTCATCTGTTTGGACAACTCAGACATCTGGATGGCTAGTTCTGTCCCAACTCCCACTTCATAAATTCCTGGAGTTCTGCCCTGCACACTCTTCTGTTGCGAATTGGCTCCAAGCATCTCGAAAAGCTCTAAAGTCTGTTCTGCGGTCTTCTCTCCCATTGCTCCTCCAGCTGCGTTGTCAACAATAGCTTGGCATCCTTGGTTTAAACTGTCATAAAAGGTCTGATTCTGGAGCGCCAATGAATAACCGTGGTGAGGGCATTGAGTGAGCAGCATCTTAAATCTCTCCCACGCCTCATGAAATGGCTCACCTTCAGCTTGAGTAAAATTGGCAATTTTTCTTCTTAATTCTGAAGTTTTCGACTGAGAATAATACTTGCCAATGAATTTATTGTAGACATCAGCCCAAGTGCGCAAGGAACCAGGTGTCAAAGACATAAACCATGCCTTCGCAGCTTCTTTTAGAGTGTAGGGAAAACACCTCATCTTCAGCTCATCTTCAGTCACTCCTTGCAAGGGGAAATTCTGAACAATGCCATAGAAGTCTCGAATAAAAATCAGGGCATCCTCAGATAAAAGCCCATGAAAAGATGGCAATTGGTTAAAGTGAACCGTCTTTAGATCATAGTTCCTGGCAGCCTCACTTAATACAATGCAAGACGGAGAGACACCCACAGTTGGTCTCCCAAACTCTTTCATTAGCTGCGCGTCACCCATTGTTGGATTAGGAGCAAATCGGAGCCTCCTCTTTGTTCTTTTGCCAATTAAGTCAACTTGGTCGTTCAACGATAGCAAATCTGGATTAAGTGACCTGCGACCAAGCATACAAAAAAAAACGAAAAAAAGAAAAGCAAACACAACTAACTAAAACAAAAACTAAATTAACAATTTTCCAAAAACTAGTTAAACAAATTCCCCGGCAACGGCGCCAAAAATTGATAGACAATTTATAATAGTCCTCGCAAGTGCACGAGTCGCGATAGTACAGTGCTCAAGTAAGGGTCGAATCCACGGGGAAAATGCAACTAAGTAATTGGAAAACTATTAATTAAAAATAAAAAAATAAAATTAATTTAACTAAAAGAGAGATTTGAGAATGTTTTGATTTGAAACTAAAAAGTAAAGCTTGAATTAAAATGGATGCAAGGAATTTAATTGAATAAAAATAAAGTGATTAAACAACTAATTTGAGATTGATTGAGAATTAAGCAAGAGAAAAGGTAGTCCAGGATTATGAATTAGTCGCTAAGTTTTAGTATTTGTGATTTAGTTAGCCAATTAGAATTGAGGGTTCGTTCTAGACAAAAATATGACTATCCCGTATGGCATCCAGAATAAGTCACGTACTTTAACTATTAATTAAAAGGAAATTATTAATTCAATAGTTAAAATCCATTAATCACAAAAGAACTACGGAAACCCGATTTAAGAACCAAATAGATAACTCAACAAGACAGTTCAATTATCTATTCTTTTATCCAAAAGAGCTCGAATTAATAGGCATGGCATGTACTCTATTGATCCACTCAAACAACTTAATTAATCATGCTAAAGTTGGCCAGAAGTTAACACAATAAATTAAGCGAATAGGAACAATGGATAAAACTCAATCAATTGACTAAACTAAAATCACAATTTATACTAAATCATAGCAACTTCATCACAATCCAGGACCTAAACAATTTAGCTACTCATACTAAAGTAAGAAATTATTAAAACGAAAGGAATCAGGGAGTTCATGTTGACCATGTTGCAATCAACAATAAACAATTGCTTCCAATTCTCAAGCAATGAAACTGAAGCAAATTCAAGGAGAAAATAATGTAAAGAAAGTCTAGAACACTGCTGAATCAAACCGGGACTTTTTCAGAAGAATTTCTTAACCGAATTGCTGATTTTCACGATCAAGAAATCTCCTTTCTGCACTCGGAACTCCAGCCACTCCGAGATCAGAAGCCCGCTGCGTTCCCCTGTGTCCAGCCTCTCAGTCCGGCTTCGGCTCTCTGTCTTCGCCACCCAGCCCTGTGCCTTAGTGGATGGAGCCGATCCCCAAAAAAAATGGAGCAGCCACTAATCCCTTTTCCAGCTTCCTCTCTGTTCTTGGGCCTATTTTTTTTCCTGGATTGGGTTGCTGGTGCCGTACAAGTCAAGAGGAGTATCCTCTTTTTTTCTTTTTCTTGTTTGCTGCGGAGGAGCCTTTCTCCAAAACAAAAAGTATTTGGCTCACTTCTTTTAATTTTCCAACAACCCTTTGAAAAGGGAAAATCTCCAAAAATCAGTCCAAAAGTCCTCAAATCCTTCAATTAAAGTTCTCACCTGTAAAAATCATTTTTAACACAAAATATAACTCAAGCCTCTCAATTAGGCAAATAATAAGCATAGAATTGTAACAAAGTAATATAAAAATGAAGCAAAAATTCTAGCTCATCAAAGACCAGATATGAATTTTCCAATATAAGCTCACCCTCCCCGAGCTCTAACCTCAGAGAGCTCGGGGTCTCAGCAACTGAATGTGAAGTTGGACGTTTTAGGCAATCAAGTACTTCCTCCGTTCCTTTTTAATTGCAATGGTCAACATTTCACGTTTGCCAACGCACGAGTTTGACTATTAATATCTTTCAATCCTTTTTAGTAAAAATATTTAAAAAATTCATATTTTGAAAATTTAGAATGAGAAGAATTTAACAATATTTTTTAGAAATTAAATTCGTAATACATTAATAAATAAACTATAGTCAAAGTAGAATGTGTGAATAATGCAAAAAGTCCTACGCTGCGATTAAAAGAGAACGGAGGTAGTACTACGCAAGGCACCGCCACGTCACCAATACTATACAGAGTGCCATGTCAATTCAGGCAAAACCGCCAAGGAATATTCTGGACGATACACGTGTAGCACACACGTGAGTTCTGGTATAAATCTATTATGCACAGTTTCAATCAGCCGGATGTCCCAATTATATCTCCAATCACATTTACTCATGTCACCATATTATTAGATTCGTGTGTTTATCCTTTTAGGAAAGTGTGACACGCGTCCTCACCACAATAGAATATCATCTTTTTTACTTAGCTTTTTAGCCAAGTATTTCTTCTTAAGTATAAATATCATCTTCCAGCATGTAGAAAGGGATCCGAAATTCTCTGTGAAAACTTGTTGTTATGCTGCTGAAATCTATGATCGTTCGTACTTGGCATTTTCCCCATTTTCTCTCTTATTCCTCGGATTCCGGCTACCCCCAGGGTCGGCGATCCATCAATTAACATTATATTACATATTAGTTACTTAAAGTATAATTTATAATTTATACATTTATTCTATTAGTAAAATTTTCATTAATATTAGTAACATTGACACTATTACTTACATTCCCATTAATTAATATTCATTCATACATGTATCCTATTAGTTACATTTTCATTAATATTTGTTATACATTTATCATATTATTAATAGTAGTTACATTCTCATTTTGTTACATTCTAATTTTCTCAACTTGAATATTTGTTACATTCACATTTTATATTCTTTGTTACAATCTCAAATTATATTATTCTCATTTTAATTACATTAGAAATTCTTAATAGTAGTTTTATTTTAATTGTAATAGTATACTTGTTACATTATCATTTTAGCTAACTATATTTGTTAGATATTAATATATTCTAGTATTAAAGTTGTTAGATTAAAGTAGTTGCATTTAAATTGCATTTACTAGTGTTGTCCCATTTTATTTAGGCCATTGAAATAGTTGCATTTTATTCTAGTATTAAAGTTGTTAGAATAAAGTACTTACATTTAAATATTAGTTTAATTTTAAATTTATTTTTTTACTCGGCAGGCAAAACACCTAATTTAATGGTCAAACGCCGAGGACTATTTCCAAGGTTTTTATTTAAAATAATAAATAAAAATACAATGGAAAGGAGGATCAAACCAAACCTCCCCGGAAGAGGCATACCTCTTCGAAATACATAAATAATCGCAAATGAAGAGCGAATTGGGAGGGCTAGGCCTGACCCAATAATACAAATTGACTGATAAATATAAAAGAAGGGAAATTAAATAAATCAACATAATAAGCATCATAACATAAGAAGGTAAAGAACCAATAGACACAAATTTGAGGAATTGATCCGCGTGAAGATATGGTAAGTAATGGGCCAGCCCATTTCCTTCCCGTATCACATGACTAAACTAAATCTCCCTGTTGTCAGTCAAGACACGGAAATCACGAATAAGGTCCATCCATTTTCTCGCCCTGTCGTCTCAAATGAGATCCAATGTTGATGAAGAGTTAGATTCCACCTGAAACCCTGAATAACCTTCCTGAGCCCAGGTAGTAGCTGAAATGAAAGCTCGGGGTTCAGCTTTTATGCTCGACGTCGCAGATACAGGAAAGTTGATATCAACCAAAAGCTCTCCTATCTCATTTTAAAGAATTGCCCCTCCCGATGCCACACAGGTATAACAACGCGTTAGTGTTCAATTTCAACTTACAATTCTTCTTCGGTCTTTGCCAACACATTGGAATAATTGGCTTGTAATGCATAAGAAAACTCTTCGGTCATTTTAAAGTCACATTTTAGCTACATTTTTACATTAGATACATTTTCATATTAAAGTCACATTTTAGTTACATTTTTACATTAGATACGTTTTCATATTAAAGTCGTGTTATAATATTAAAGTCGCCTTTTAGTTACATTTTTATAGTAATTACATTTTAATTGTATTTGTTCTCACATTAACATATTTGTTAGAATTTAATATTTTTTACCAAAACATATTTAGTTGGACCGTGCATTTCCTATCTATATGTTCCGCGTATAAAACCTTCTACATGATCGTATTTTAGATGATAACACAGAGTAGCAACAGAACACATGCTAAAAAATAAAAGCCAGTACATAAATATATGGACTAGTTTAATTAGTCATCCAAAAGAATGCATAAAAAAATCAGTTTATGAACCAATGAAGGTCTCGTCCCCAATCCAACCCATCAGTACAAAAAAGTCCAATTCAAGACCTAATATCACCGACAATCCGGAATTCAGCCCAGTAGTTGCCGCGGCACATACTTTAAACTTTAATTACGTAACTCTAAGCCCAAGACTCCAACAGGTATGAAAGCCAGCTAGATCTGCTGGCAGTAGCCCAGCCTGGAACGAAGTGATCCATCAAGTGGTCTTCCTTGCCTTCATTACACGTAACCCAGGGAATTCAATTCAGAGTAGTATGACATTGATGTGTAAAAAGCATGCATACGACTATTGAAATATTACAATATAAATTATAAATGAAATGCCCGACCTAATCTTTAAATATACCTATAAATCTTCAGGCGGGCCTTCACAGTGGGACTGCTCAACCTCTCCTCCATTTGCACCATCTATTGGTCGAATTGTGCTCTCCTCTCTCAACAAACAATCTGCAACACAATAAGGACTCGCACATTAATTATATAGAATTAAAATTATAGTTCTTGCAAAACTCACCTACTCTAAATTACCTGCTTCAAATGCATTGCACTTCTTATCAAGGTTTACTATTTCAATTAGCGCAAGGATCCACCAATAATATTCATAATAAACACCTTCCTTACTAAGCAAAAATTCTCCCCCAGTCATGTGGTTCACTATTTTGCCAAGCAAAATATTCAACTGTCTTTTGGTATCCATTCTGGCTCTGAACAGGGAGAGCTCCATCTGATTCATGTTTTCAGATAGATGAGAATTAAAAAACTCTATATACCCAACGTTGTAGAGCAGCTTTCCAGACCATTCCGCACCATATTGTGGCAATAGGCACATTACAGACATTTGGTTTTGGTGCTCCTTTGTCAAATCTTTTTTTTTCAGCAACATATGCGAAACATCCTACAAAAAATGCTGCCATAAGTTAAATGATATGCCAACTGCCAAGTCCAATTTTCTGTTCAATAGGGGATATGAACATGATTTATTCTCTTATGTGAACCAATATAATCGTGCATGGTCATCAGAATTAAAACCTAAAGCAACAAGTGTTGTGAATTGTGATACCGATGAACTCTTGTTTTTGAGAAAACTTTATCAAACATTTTGTTTCATCGGGATTTAGTTCAACATGAGATAGTTTTGCCCTATTATTTTCTTCGGTAGGAGTTTTTGAAGACTTTCTACTCGGTATTATTAAGAATTTTAACATTCTTAACCAAAAAAATTATCCAACAATAAATTCATATTTTAATTAGCCTTGATTTGTATGTAATCACTACATTCAATGTTAAATTAATACTACGTAAAACAATTTAGCTAAGAAAATAAGAACACATTACACTTGCAATAATAAAATTAATTTAAGGCATACTGGCTATGGCATCCAAATTCCAAATCCCAATCTACTTAATAAAATAGACCGGTTGACCCACTTCAACAAAACAACAAATAAAGAATAAACGCCACAAGCCCAAAAAATAAAAGGAAAAAAGATAAATTACCTCTTATGGCTTTCAGAATGAAGTCAAATGCGCAGTAGGCAGGACGATTCAAACCACGAAAACCAAAGTGTTGATTCTGAGCAAACCCTGCAACCTCCATGCTGATTCTGGGCAAAACCAGATGGGTTTGTCTTGTTGGGGAAATATATCTCTGGATCTAATTGATAAAGGTAGTTCTGATTTCTGAATGGAGGTTGGAGAGGGAAAGTGGGAAATGAATATATGTGGCAAGGTTTCGGTGGGCGATTTGGTTTGGCCGGTGAGGTAGGATGGGAAGGACCGAAGGCAGAGGTGGAAGTGGAACTATTAAGTGATCTGGAGGGGCTTGTTATATAGCCCTGCGGGACTATGGTTCTTTTTGTTATATATACAGAGTATGAGTATATGTATACATATCCAGCCATGGCCCCTGCTTGGGTTAATTATTTACTCCGTAATACAAGTATATATGAGGAGTTTAAAAGTGATTTGCTTTTACTAGGTAAAATGGCTAGTCCTTCCTTGCTAAGTGAAATGGCTGGGCCCGTTGACGCTGGCGGCTCCCTTTTACCTAAGAACACGTTTAATTCACGGGTTACTAAACGGTGTTTATTAAGATCTGTTTTAATAAGCGGCGCATAAAATAAGCAATGTTGTAAGATCATGTTTACTTCAAACGATTTCAGACACCGTTTAACATTAAAATGTTCAAAATAACTATATTCACATATATAGACACAAACATTCATGTTAAGGCTTGAGGTTTCATCTTAAAAGGTTAACCCGTTAGTAGAAGTAGCTAGGAGGATCTTAATATAGCGTTTAAATCTTTCAGAGATGTCCGGTGTGGAACTTTAAAAATTCGTAAATACAATTATATAATATAGTATGTGGGGTCACCTTCTACGGGTTTTATTAGGAACCATCCAATGATTACCATATGTTCTTGAGTTTTCACACCTTCATATCATGTTGTAATAAAAGGCGTAAATCGTATATTGTGTATACTAAGCGGCTAAGGGGAAAAGAAAGAATTCTACTGCCTCCTTCCCGTTAAGATTGTCCCATTTTACATTTTCGGTTCGTCTCACTAAGATTGTCACATACCAAATTTGGGTAAAGTTTGTGTGGCTCTAAATCATTCATACTTTATTTCTTACTTTATCAATTCAATATCAACCACATGATCATTTTTTATTAATTTGTGTGACACTCCCTCTTGTCCCATTGTTAGCGGGAGGGAGGGAGTATTATTCTACAAGTATATCGTAAGGGGAAAAAATGATGAGATCCAGAGAATGAGTGAACTTTAAAAAGAGATAATGGGTCAAGAGGTTAACAAAATTGAATGTGAACACACTTACACACCCACCACAATTCCACAAATAACAAGAAAGTTACCGGTGGGCGTAGCTCAACTGGTAGCGAGAGAGTGCCACAAGGGTTAGGTCTCGTGCTCAAATCCCGGCAACTGCGATGAGAGGTTACTATGCTAAAAATGCATAGGACCTCTGCAAGTACCGGGGACGGAGCCTCACTCTCTATCTGTCAGATTGTAATTGTAGTCCAATTTACATCCTCTCATCGTGCCGTTCGGTCGGTGCATGTCGGGGGGCCTCGGTCCGGGATGGGTGTCATCCTCTTTTTTTACAAATAACAAGAAAGTTAAAATATACGGAGTGAGGTTAGTACGTGCACCTCTTTGGCTCTTTTGTATTCAATTCTTTTTAGTGATAGTCACGGACTAATGGACTATATCTAAAGCTTGATACAAAGACCAACGGATGTGGTAGTAGGGTCGGTCCTCCCCATTTCTCGTCCTATGTGTGAGATGTAATATATTATTGGACGAAAAATTCTTGGTGTACACGTTCTTATGCACACCAGTACACCTCCGTATCTGTGAGAAGTTTTGTTTGTCTGTGAATCCCAGTTCATAGACAAAACGCAGACAAAACAAGTCGGTTTTGTCTGTGAACTAGGATTCACAGACAAAAAAACCTTTCACAGACATGAAGGTGTACTGATGTGTATAAGAACGTGTACACCAAGAATTTTTCTTATTGCACTTATAAACAAAATAAATCATAAACTATACGTGTTATTAAAAATATGAATTATAACAAAAAATACTTAGTAGAGGTCATAAAATAAAGGTCAAAACCACTTTACTATTATTTCAATTACATATTTGGGCAAACGTAACAATACAAGTATTACATTAAAATAAAAAAATATTACTTAAAATGTTTCTCGTAGAAAAATGTGAAGCAAAATCATAAATACTCATTTAAAAAGAATAAAAAGCATTAAAAGCTAAATAAATGTGAAAACTGAAGAGACGTACTCCCTCCGTCCCAATTTATTTAGTCAAACTTGTTTTTTCAAGTCAATGGTACCTAACTTTGACTGATTATATATCTATATAGAAAAAATATTAATAATATAAAAATTATATAGAAATATTCTTTGTTGAAAATACTATTATAAAAGTATAAAATTATTAATTTTTCATATATATATATATATATATATTAGTTAAAATAATTGGTCAAAGTGTACCACCTTTGACCGGAAAAGTCAAGATTGGCTAACTAAATTGGGACGGAGGTAGTATCTTTTATCGATTCACTACGTTGCTTTAAAAACTATAACTGGACCTACTTAAAAATATATTGATTCTAGACTAGGGTTTGTTTGCAAATGCATTTGCTTAAAAAAGATCACTTTTTGAAGTGGTTTTGGAAAAAGTAATTAGTAGTAAAAGTTGATAGTGTTTGAGAAAAAAGTGATTTTGAAAAGTAAAAGTTAGTAGTGTTTGGTAAAATAAGGGTTTTTTGTGTAATAGAAAAAGTAAAAACCATTTTTCACACAAAAGCCGAGAAGCATTTTTTTAAATAGAAGTTGTCACTTGAAAACACTAATTTTAGTTTTTTTAAACGAAAAGTCGTGAAGTGCTTTTGCAAGCTATTGAAAACACTCCCTTAATTCGTCCTTTGAGAGTTTACCTGCGCCGTGTGCCCGTGTGGTGTGTAGGTGTGTATTTCACTTTTTTAGTAGAGTAATCAACTTATTTCTTTTTCATCCAAAACACATTGCCAAACATAAAAGGAATTAAAGGAAAAAGGGTCAAATAAGTCCTTCTATTATTTCCAATCCGTCACTTAAGCCCCCGTACTAAACAAAGTATCATATAAGTACGTTTACTTTTAAAATACAATCAACCAATCCCTTTGATAGCAGGTTATTTAAAAAAAATTAGGAATATTGATAAATCTTAAAAAATTTCATATAATTTTGAATAAATAATTTAATAATAATATAAAAAATAGTATAAATATAAAAATAGATAAATTTTTAAATACAATAAAGTAAAAAAATAAAAAACATAAAACTGAAAAATAATGTGAAAATGAAAAATGAAAAAATAAAAGTTTAAAAATGTTTTAAATAGATGTAGAATATACATTTCTTTAAATTAAAAATGTTGACTTGATATGTTGAAAAGTTTTCACAATTTTGTATATATTTCTTCAAAAAAAATTTAGAACTTTTAAGTATTAAAAACCTGCTATTACGGGTCAAAAGTTGATTAAATACTCAAATTGATCCACTTTGTGTAGTCGTACTTATATGATAATTTTGTTAGTACTGGTGCTTAAGTGACGGCTTGGAAATAATACACAGGCTTATTTGCACCTTTTCCCGGAATTAAATACTCCTTCCGTCCCAAATTGTTTTGCAAAGTCAAAATTTTTTGGTCAACCAATAATAAAAGTCAATCCTCCGCATCGATAATTAACTCAATTTTTTATAATTAAAATTTACATATTCAGAAACTACATCAAAATATCTTCAATGTTATAAACTCCAAATTAAAATATAATTATAAATTGACCTCTTAATTAAACAAAAAATATGAAACTGTTTGACCAAGAAAAGTCAAATTTCCAAATCAATTTGAAACAAAGGTAATAGTACATATATGGTTACCACTTACCATGCATCATTGGCCATGTTTTTTGTAAAGCAAAACCTAATACTCCGTATGTTTATTCAGCTCAAATACTCACGGTGTCACGGTTAGGATGTTTTCTTTTGGACTGAAATTTGCTGGTCTGGTCTGGTCTGGTCTGTTTAAGTCTGATCTGGTCTGGTCTGGTCTGGTAAACGTCTGGTCTCTGTGTATTTTATAACTATCCAAGTCTAGTCTGGTCTGGTCTGGTCTGTTTAAGTGTGGTCTGGTCTGATCTGTTTAAGTCTGGTCTGGTCTGATCTGGTCTGGTCTGGTCTGGTATGGGACTGAAAACAGTCCAAAAGAAAACATCCTTAGAAGCAGAAGGTTGCAATTAATGACTTGCGCGTACGGAGTATATATTAATTGACGTACATCTCATAAATAAGGAAGGGGTCGGGTGTTAAAGATTGAAAAAGGATTACGCCCAGAAAAAGCAGTTTGTATACCGTGGTATCACCCCATGGTGAGCATTGTGCTCTCACACCCAAAATGACGTAGTTTCGCACAATTTTTGAAAACAATTTGCATGAACAGTAACGTGTGATCAATGACTTTTTTGTCTCGGTAACAAGAATTATGTAAATCACGTGTAAATTAATGTTACTCACGTTATTGATCGATATAACTCAAGTCCGGTCGAAATGTAACTCTTCAAATACATAGTATAAGAAATAAAAACATTGATTTCAATGTTAACAATGAAAAAAGAGTCTAATTACTCGATTACTTTGCATAAATAGTGAATATGTTTTGTTTTTAATATCTGGGACATAAAGGTTATTTGAAAAAAAAATCTGTTTTTATTGTTTCAATAGCAGAGGTTATTTGTGATGTAACTCGTGTTAGGCTAAATGTAACTCGTGTTGATAGAAAATGTAACTTATGTGTATGCAAAATGTAACTTGCTAAGGCAAGTCCAAATGCAACTCGTGTATAAGAAAAATGTAACTTCACTTACACTGATGTAACTAGTAAATAAAATGATATAACTTGCACATGAAATGATGTAACTCACATGTAAAAAGATGTAAATGATCTGATATATATAACGTATGGCAATCAATGATAGTTTGAACCATTTAATTTCTTCATTATCTAAACAATTAAGAAAAATCCTTTAATAGCTTCCACACACACTCCAAAACGTCTTACTGGTTCAAAAACGAGTTGGTATACCGTGGTATCACCGCACGATGAGCATTGTGCTCCCATACCTAAAACGATGGAGTTTCGCAAGAAAAAATGTAACTTGTCAAATACATGGTATAAGAAATAAAACATTGATTTCAATGTAAACAATTGAAAAAAGAGTCTAATTGCTCGATTACTTTACATAAATAGTGAAT